AGGGGCTTTTCAGGGCCAATTCCCACCCATCCCACCCCAGGGGAGGACATCCACTACACAGTAATCTCGTGCGTGGGAAATTTACATCTCCTAGAGCCATATCAGCTTTGTTAGAAAGCAAATCGGCAATCATTTCATCCCACTCTTTAGAATCGGCATTGTAAGCCCCAAACTTTCCGTCCCTAACCAAGTACAACTCCACCGAAATAGATAAGTCTTTTTCAAGCCATTGCAGGACGTCTATGAGAAAGCGTATACAGCAGCACGTGATTGGTCCACTCTGCTCGGAGTTATCATATTGCTTGTATTTTGTGCAGGGGTAACTCAAAACACACTCGCCAAATGTAGCCACACCTTCCTTACCTACTATCAACATTGGATCTTCTTCAATAACCACTACTCGAATTAATTCTTTGTGGTCAGAAACGTTTCTTGTCCATAACGACCGGTACCTTTGAAAACTGATTCGATAAGCTGATGCCGAGCCTACTGTAACGCAAGCCAATTCCCCTGAATCTGAAGAGTTTACTCGGAATGCGCTAAGTATATCATAGCTAGCAGCCACGCGGTTTCCTTCATCGTCAAACTGAACCCATCCTGTTTTTCCTGAGAACATCCTGTCCAGCATTGTTCTGGAGTATTGATGAAGAAGAAAGATTTTGAGACAGAACTAAATGAAGTATAAATTTACCCTTCTGGTGACCCAAGGTCTAGCCAGTTGGTAAGGAATCTTCGCGAAACCTCTCCTGGAAATTTATTCTTTGGGAAAATTTCATTTCATGGGGCAAAAATTTGATATTTTCATTTTCATGCCCTTGTCTTTTTGAGGGACAGAAATTTAGAACAAAAAACTGTTATCTGGCTTTTGGTTGAGAAACACGTTTTCTAGCCCAGTGGGATTTCTTTTACATTAAGGTTCCCCGCCTATACTTTGGGTTACCCTGAGCAACGTGTGATTTAATTTTATTATATTCTGTCAACGTGAAGTTGTTCACAAGTTCTGAATACTAAAAATGTTCGTTCTACACGATTCTTTTAGCTTATCCTCCCTTCGTTCTAGCTACTTTCAAGTTTTACTTAACAATTGGTTCATGCTTTAGCGCGCACTATCGAGTTATGGAGCACGCGGGAAGTTTGGAGAGCACGAAAGAAGCGTAAGAGTTGCCCGAGGCGATAGCCGAGAGCAACTCTAGCTTCTTGAGTGCTCTCCAAACTTCCCACGTGCTCCATAACTCGATAGTGCACAGCTGAAAGCATGAACCAATTGTTTTAGAACATAGCCGGTGGAATTGTGCATCAAATCCGACGCGAAAAACGGACAACAATATCAGTTGAAGCGAATCGTGACGGCGCTGATGCCGAGTCTCCTTTTCCTTTGTTTTTCTCTTTTTCTGCCTCATTTAAGAACTCTAGCCCATGGGAAAAGGTCGAAACATTGTCTTCGTTTTCGGAATAGCAGGCCGAGTTTCTGTTTGTATCCATTATTGTCGCGAAATGTATTATTTTCCCCCGCACTAGCAATGGCCGCTCGCGCGAAAAAAAAATTTTTCTGGCGAAGTCGGATTTGCTGACGCTATCAGCGTGCACTATCGGGATTTTGAGCACGCTTACGTATAATGAATTTGATTGCGCGACTCTGCTAGCTATGTTCTAATCACTTATATAACATAAATTGGTTGGTAACATTTGAGCAGATGGATCCAGCATTTCCAAATTTATTCTCATAGTCTTGTGTGTAAAGCGAGCCATTAAGGAGGAGCAAAGCGTCTTGCACCCAGTACCTTCTATCAAACTTTGAACGTGGGCTCAACATATTTATAGGAAGATATTCCACTTTGTCGGTGCTCTGTTCGTCCCCTCTCAGAAACAACCATTGCACATGAAATTGCACTATCGTATCGACAGAATGAGAAGCTTCTATGAGCAGCGACGCGTCTTGTTCACTGCAATCCATTATAACTAAAACTGAGTTGTAGTTTTTGGCAATTTGGAAAATCTCTTGCATCATTCTCATAATCCCAATAGGTGTGTCATTAAGCTGCAATTGTGCAACGCTTGCAGAAACATAAGACCTTTTTGCTCTCGTTTGAATCTGTTGCAGAATTTCTGACCTGTGAGACCTGGACGTAAACATTGTAACATGCTGACAGCTGAGTTCATCGGCGATGTTAAAAGCAATGGCAATGTGATCCGTAATTATTGAAGGACTGAGATTAAGGTAAAGCTGACCCTATCAGAAAAAAAGTGTTTAAAAAAAGCTTTTACTCATAGCTAGAATTGTAAATATTCCAAGTATCATTAGTATCACACTTTCAGATGTCATTAGGTGTGCCGTGAAAGAAGCGATGAATTTTTTTTAAGGAAAGTCCCGCACATGCTGGTTTAGTAATCTTGGACTGTATGCTTTCACTTGATTCAACATTATACGCTGCACCGCTTTCTGTTGCTTTCTACTTAAAGGCCCATTTCCAACCTTGATGCAACGCGGTCGTTCGTTTTTGTTTTCAACCGCCGCTTTTGTTTAAATAGTGCCTCTTATTGGTCAGTTATTTTTACCTTGCCACGATGTGAATAAAGGTAAAGACAGACCGGCACGGACTCCCTATGTGGCTTTTGTGGTCGTGTCGCACTATTGCCTCCAAATTGTATTTTTGCTCTCACAAGTGTGTGGTAAGGGATTTTCCCTTTTTCGGAAAGAGATGATCGGATGTTATTTAAAATTGTTTTCAGCAAGGGTTGATTGTGAATTTAGGCGGATTGAGAGTGTGAAAGCCATTTCTCAGTCAAGTCATCATTGTGTTTCCGCTGATGCATTTGGTCAATGATCTTATTAACCCTTTCCTGCGTGTTTTTTTTACTCTCGATGCTTTGAGAGGTTTGTTTGAATTGCATTTTAGCTTGTTCTGCTTTTTCTATCTTATTCATAATGACTGTTGCTATGTTGCTTTTTTGAGGTTTAAGCAATTTGTTTTTCAACTCTTTTAGAGCCAATACCTCATTGCGTTACAAATTATTTTTTGGCTTGGATACAGTAATCTCTTCAAGTAGCTCTCAAGGGCAGTAGAAGGCTGAACTGGCAGCATCCAGTTTGATATGACACAGATGTGCTTCTTTGTTTTATCTGTGAAAGGTGTATTGGAGGCGCTTTCATCTTGCGAACAGATCTCGCAAGATGTTAGCCTGATTCAATATAGTGTTCGAACCTTTCTTCTTCGAGGGGCACAATTTCCAATTAAATACGGACCGAATTCAAAATACTGTAAGGAAACTATAAAATGACGAGCGGCGAATGTATTTACCGTAAAACAATTGACTGTATGTCCAAGATGGCTCATTAGAAAGACGATTTTAGGCGGTTTTCAGTAATCGAGGAATTTTGTGTTACAGGAAATAGGCTGCGGCGCGCGTTGCATCAAGGTTGGAAAACCACGTACTTGATGAACAATTAAAAGTATAGTGGAACAAGAATATCAAATTAGAGCGAAGAAACGCCTCCCGACTCGTTATATCATTTTCAGATCGAAGCAATAACTATACGAATACAAAAAGAGATGGCAGAAAAGGAGGGTAATATCACTGACTGAAATTTGAATTCTGAATGGTGAACAGTCCTCGTGAAAATGCAACTCAGACATGAAGGAGCAATTGTTGAAACCAGAATCGAATAGAATTATTACATCGTTTCTCTTCTTATCCATATGATATGATATATAAAAAAAGAAACTGTTCTGCATTAAATACCTGATAATCATTCTGCTTCAAATAACTTATGAATGGAACCACCAACAATCCAAGCGTGTTTGCAATCAACCTATCTAATAATTTGTTGCCAGAGCCTATAATGGCCTTAGTTCCATTTAAACCTTGTGTTGCTCCAGAGATAATTTCTGCAACTTTCAGAGCGTCAAAAAAACTAAGGTTTCCGGCGGGAAATTTGACAACATCTACGTCCAGGTTTGCACGCCATTGTGATAAGTCAAGCGTGTGACTTGAAAGCACAGTGACGCGAGGTAGCGCTTTAGGTCCTTCGGGCCCATAACATGTGGTTATCTTCACAATGTTGATATGATATATCAGTAAAATTGAGGCTATGTAGTAAACGCAGGGTTTTGAATTCATCTTCACTGTTCCGGTGAATAAAACATTACTTCAGAAGGCTCGGTTCTGACAAAGCAAACGAAACAAAACAACAAGAACAAACTTAACTTAATGCCATAGCTTATCAATACAACAATACCTAAACATTTTTATCTATGAAACTTTTTTTAAGGGTCACTGGCAGCCAAAATAACTACGAGCTTAACGAAACTGAGTGCCAGTACAATAATCACCACTAGTGATGAAGTTCAGCCGGTAAACGAGTTAAATCAGGTGATTGATAGCACCAATTCGGTTCGGCCATTAATTAATGAGATCTCGTATTTTTGGGGTTACTTTAAAATTACTTCTATCTGCTACTTACTTCGTATGTATATTGCTGAGTTTCGAAGAACATGACCATATCCTTATTCCAACGCCGGATTAAACGTGTAAAATAGTTCGAAAACCGTTTTCTGCACTTAGCTGATGAGTCGTTGACAGCAACACAGCTGAACTGTTTTTGTCACCGAGAGAGTGTTGTATATGCACACTTTCCACCTGTTCATTATGTTCGCCCTGTCTTCTCTGTCAGATTGACGATTGATATCTCAGTTTATATTCGCAATTCCATAGCTTATCAACAAACAAACATCTCAACTATATTCCATAGAACCCTTACTCGAGCCTCGGAGATACATAACCACAACACCAGATTTGCCTCTAGATTAAATCTTCATAGGCCAAATGCAAATAATAACTATGGGATCTCTACTTTTGCTTTTGTTTCATCTAAACTTTGGAAAACTATTCCAACAAATATTAAAAGACTGCCGTACACTTCCTTCTTCAAACAATATAAATTACACCTTTTAAACTCTCAAGCTTCTGAAGAATCTGGATATAGTTTATCTATGGAACTTTTATTCTATTTTCTTTTTTTTCCTTTGATCTCTATTGTTATCATATAAGGGGCAAAATTACTGAATTGTGATTGGTCAAGACAGAGGGCATTTTTTCTTAATTTTTGTAATTGCCCCGGAAAAAAATTACTTGAAAATGATTGGCTGAAAATTGCTTAGAAACGGCTGCCAAGGTAAAGAAATTTCTGTTTGTTTTGTAACAATGGCGTCCCGTTTTGCGCGAGATCAGTAAGAAAACATTTTGCCCCTTATATTATAAACAAAGTAATCACCTGGTTCCTCGTAAAATTAAGGATTAATATCACTTGTGTTTTCGGAAGTTGCAGAAATTGCTCTCGTCGCTGCGCGACTCGGGCAATTTCAGCAACTTGTGAAAACACGCGTGATATTAATCCTTAATTTTACTCGGCCCCATGCGATTACCTATACTGATTGACTGATGTGTCGTGTCAATTATTTGTACGTGTCAGTGACCAACACAAAAGTCTATGCTACTTTGGTCACTAAGCAGATTTCATCTTGGCTGCGTATTGTAATATTTTTTCCTTTTTAATTGATGGAATCTTTTCCTTTTGTATACACTGTTGATGTTATAAATTTTGTAAATAGAGCATAACAATAAACTGTATCTGTGCCAATCTTGATGTTGCAAACGTCTCAGTGATCACCAATTTTTTAAATTTTTTTTTAAAGTTATTTCGAGAAAGAACCCATGGATAGACTTGAAAGCTCTCTCTTTCTTAAGCTTGGAAGTTTGTCTGTTGAAACAGTTGTTTCAGCTCGCATTAAATTATTAACCGTACCAGTAATTGCTTTTCTAGAACCTATCGTTTACCGAAATGGAATAAATTTCATTTCATTTTGTGTATTTAGCTTGATTTTTGCAAATGAAAAAGACCACGTAAGTTTTTATCAATAACAGTGTTCCATTCTTCGAGATAATGTTGGAGTGGAGCTGAAAAACATTCTCTTTTAATTATAAGATTATAACAGGTCCTTCCAAGTTGGGTTTGCAATTGTCAGCTTGAGGCTGTCTTAGCAAATCTTATCGAGCTCGCATCTTAAAAAAAAATAAGTGTTAACGCTGATGAATAAATAAACGTTTAAATACGTACGCTATGTTCTGGTTTTCAAAGTTGCTTTGAAAACTATATTGACTGTCATCAAAGTACTCGTTTAGAATCACTCTACAATAACGAATTGCTTCGTACTTAGCTTGCGTATATCGAGTTAGGGGTGCACACGAGAAGTTAGGAGAGAAGCCTAAGAGTTTGTCAAAGCGCAGCCGAGAGCAACTGTAGCTTCTTGAGTGCTCCGTCTCCAAACTTCCCTAGTGTATCCATAACTCGATCTACTCACAGCAGGGCGGACACAACTTGTGCTCGAAGAAATAGTTTTATTATAATTGCGTCGGGTTTACCAGAGGTAATCGCAATCCATAACTCGATATACGCGCGCTAAGCATGAACCAATTCTTTATTTTAACAAAACTTCTATTAGCACCACCCTAACGTTGTTATCAAGTTTTTGCTATTTATAATGAAATAGAAACTGAGAGGTAGCGTCAGTCAATTGCATTAAAAAAAAATTTTAAAGGGTGCTTGAAATTTTAAATTATTTGCAAGTTAAACCATGCCAATTTTTTAATTTCTTATTCAGATTGAATTTAAGGATAATAAAATAAAATTGAGCAAATAATGAAAGTGTCTAAAGATAAGTAAGTATGAAATCATGATAAGAAAAACCTGGGTTGAGACTGCTGAGTTGTTTGATGAATCAATTTGCTGAGATTCAGGAAAAATAAAAGAAAGGTAGCTTAAAGATCATTATTTATTCATTATGAGCAAAGCCCTTGTACAGGAAGGCAAAGCTTATTTGAATGATGGGGAAAAAAAAGTTCAACAGCCAGGTTTTCGCATGCTAATAAGGTTGATTGAATACTTTAATTCTGCTGAACTCAAAGAAATCGGTACGTTGACTAGAAACCTGGAAACATGCAGATAAATTGAAGTCTTTTTTCCGTGTTACTTACATTACATAGGTTACAGTGGCAGATCCAGGGGGAGGGTCCGGGGGATCCGGACCCCCCCCCCCCATCAGACCTGACGCTTACAACTTTGAGAAAGGATCATACATCACTTTGTAACTGGCTGATTTTTTTAATGATTCCAAGTAAACGGTAAGCGGCCAAGGAATTATAACGTGCAACCGCGACTGGTGGGAGGAGGTGTGGGGGGTGTGGGGGAGAAGTAATTTGCCTCAAAAGAGTCCAACAGTCCTTTCTGAACCAAATTTTGGACCCCCCCCCCCAAAAATTCCTGGATCCACCTCTGGGTTAGGAGAGGAGAAACGGAAGCTCGGAACGCTCAAACCAGAAACATTCGCAATGGGGTGAACCGTTAGCCGTAAAATGGCCGAAAAATTCAACCTACATGAATCTATTTAAACCTTAATTTAGACGAAAAAATGTACAAATTTAATTTATTTCTCGAAAGTGTCAATTTGCGTTAACCATTAGCTGTAAAACTGTATGAATTTCTTTTTGTCTCATTGAGACCCCCCCTCCCTCTAACAAAAGATAAAGCACATCTTTCAAAGAAGCGTTTGATGAATATGTCCTAGCTACTTTTGACCAAAACCTGCGGGTACAGAGATTTTTTCTTCCTCCTTTCAAATCCTAAAAATATTTCTTTTCTTCAGCTGAATCATCGTGCAAATGAGTTAAAATCCCAATTTACATATAAAATAAATTTTCCAGGCTAAAATGATATTGAAATATTGGGCTCTGTTTAAAGAAGTTTTACGTAGCAGGTTTTCTCGTCACTCGGTGAAAACAAAGGCGGTGTAATCGCGAAAACTTGCAGCAGAGGTTCACAGGTTGTCTAATCTCAATGTCCTCCGCTCCTAACCTTATACGGCTTCGCCACTCATTTTCATGGCTCCACCACCTCATGCTCCTAAGTAAACGCAAAACCACCTCCCACACAAGCTACTTCTAAATAATTTTTTCAAGCTAGTTAACAGCTTTCCCTCTGAGTAAAAATCCAAGGTTTAATTAAGATGTAATTTGGGTGTGTCACGTCTTACTTATACAAGCATATAGTTGTTATGTAACCGTGAACCTACAGATGCCACGTTTGCTTCGCGTTATGCAAATTGCCTTTCGTTTACGAAAAAAGGAAAAACGTCCCACCTTTCATAATGAGTATTGGTTCCCTGTGACTAAATTAAGCCGGTTAACAGAATATATTAGCGAACAAGGCGGAAGAGATTTTGGGGGGTTAAAATTCCTTCAGAAACGATGGGGATCTTCTACATGTGAGAAAGAATTCACAGTCCTGATCTCCGGGAAAGGTAGACCTGCATTGTCATCTACGCTACAAATAAACTTTTGCGAAATCGACAAACCCCGGCCGACGCCCTTGTTCTCCTTCTGTCCCCTTATTTTTTCTTGAGCCTATAAAATACCCACGGTAGATCTATCTGCCCTAAGATATCTCTAAAGTATAATTATATCTATTAGACACATCTCAAAGAGGCTTGTAATCAATGTTGCAATTATAAGCATTTTTATTAAACGTTTTTTTGTTTTTGTGAGTAGGGAATAGCCGTTTCTTTAAGCTCTTCAAAAGGAAAGTTTCCTACGTTCAAAATGCGATTTAAATATCAGCTATGTCTTTTTTTTTCATCAGAGAAACATTTTTTGTTTCTTATCCGAACCACTGTCATTCCAATTCCACCAGATGGCTGTTTGAATTGACAAACAGCGTCAGTTTAGCTTAACGTACATGAAACTTAACATTGATACTGTAAAGTCAAGCATTTGTCCTTCTTTATAGGCTGACGTCTTCAAAAGTGAAAATAACATAAAAAGGACTGTTTCCAACCAGGGCATATTATCTATGCCCGTTTATCGTCACTTATTGGTGTTTTGAAATATGTTTTGGTGGCTTATCTGTGACAGTCTGACGTCTCAAGCCTGACAGTTTTGATAACATCATTTTATTTCAGTTTAGTTTAATACATTCGCCGCAGTTCAACAAGTACAAATAACTAATCTACATTACACAGTAACAAGAAAGAAAAAGTAAAAATGGAGTGGCAGGAGAGAGGAACAGA